CGATTCTAGCTTGATGGCGTCAGCGGCAGATCGCTCACCGCAACGTTGCCGCTGTTTATGTTTGATATTATGACAAATAGATTTTTTTTTGGAATTTTCGGAAGCTTCTCTGATTTTTGCAGTTTGTATTTTTTAAATTAAAATCGTTATGAGAGGTACCAGAATTGCCTCCGCGAGCTACCGGTAGCTCGCGATCGACAGGTTGGCGACCACTGCCTTAGACCATGCTGTACGTCTTTCCTCTGTTTTTTCATCTCAGTGCAGGTAGTAACTTTCATGATTAGGTTTCCCAGTTGAAAACCACTCTTGACCAGACATTTTTATAATGAGAATTTATCTGGTTTTAGGTAAATTACCTAATTCTACTATGTTACCTAGCTAAATAGCCATGATGTTCCCTAGGTGGCTCATGGAGTTATTTCCATAACTTCCCAGAAATCTAGGCTAATGACCTTAGTCCATACTGAACACATCAAAATATGTTAAACTTTTTTCACTTTTTATATGAATAATAGTTTGTCATTCATATGCTAATATTGAAATAAATAACTTTATCAAGACATCAACTAACTATTTAGAAATATTTGTGAACAATCACTGTTAAAGTGTTTTCTAATTTATTGAAATTCAAATTCATAATATCTATCAAATAATATCTAAAACAACAAATTTTTTCTTCAAACGTCCAACATTTGATGTTTTGTAACTAACAATCATATACTGAAATTGATGTTTATTTCCTATCAAATTTGAATCATAATCACAATGGTTCTACTTTGTTTTACTAATTCTGCCTAATTACTAAATCCATATCAACATACAAAAAAATTGTTAGCACACTCGCCATAGTTGGCTGCAAAAAATGTGAATTGTTTAATGTTCCTTCACTTTCAGAACTTTATTATACTTCTGCATCATTCCCAAAAAACTAATCACTTCTAAAAATATTACCTTTTCAGTTTAAATTTATAATATTTATAATTATCTATATTTACAATTTTCTTCTTAGGCCAGAGTAGACAGAATCAACATTGATGGATTGTCAAGAACTAGAAATGATATAGTAGAGGACTGTATTAAAGAATTATTCAAAGCTAAAGATTTTCAAGAAGTTCTTTTGAAGGCGCATAGGGTCAGTATTACATAAAGTAGTAAATTTTTATTCAATTCCTCCTTATTTTCAGGCTCGAGTGAAATTAGATGAACTAGGCTGTTTTAAAAACATTTCCATTTTTGTTGATACAAGCAAAGGTCCCAAATCAACTCCTGATGGTTTAGAGGTATTAGTTTTTTTCAATGGAAAATTGGTTGTTATCCAAAAAAACCAATTTTGAATGAAGCAAATCATTTTGGTTTTGGTTATGGATGTGCCTTATGTACTGTAGTTGATTTTTTTGACTCGTTTGAAGACTGGGAGTTCTCGGGTCTAAATTTGAAAATATTTTGTGTGATATTGATATTGATAAAATAAACTGCATGATGTACTAGACAGCTTCAACCTCATACAAGATATTAAGAAACCAACCAGAATTGGAGCTACAAAAATGACTTAATTGGATTTTTTGCTGTTCTGTGTCATGTGTAGGGTGGTATCAACACGTGTGACTGATCAGCCGTTTTATTATGTCTACAGAGACTTCAGAAATTAGCAATAATGATTTTTTAACAGACTGCAAATAGATTTCAATCCTATATTGTATACTAGAGACATTAATGAAAAAATTGAAATTAGAATAGCCCTGATTACAAAATATATTTTTGTATTCTGATATGACTTCAATGTGATATAGTGCATAAGTTGAATGTCGCAACATATATGTTATTTCTTAACTGTAATGGGGTAACCCGTTTATAAATAAATAAATAAAAATCACCATGGATGATTGACAATTAATATATTATGGGGTTGCATAATATATTATAAAAAGTAAAAATGAACAGTAGGCTGAATTCATGGTAGAAACTTAAACGATTGTAATAAGGCAATGAAAAATGAGAAAAATAGCATACCTCCAGTAGTAAATAAATCAAAATAATCCTGAAACCCCCTATAGAAGGACCTGAATGGCATTAATGTAAATACTTGAAAAAGAATTGTAATTTCATATTAGTTGGAAACTATCAACAACATTAAATAACTACTTTATAAATAATGCCCAGAATGTATCTCTTGAATTCTATAAAAATGATAAGAGAACCCAAGTCAATGAATTTAATTTCAGAATAGTTATCCAAGACCAAATATCAAAGCAATTGTTCTCAATCAAAAATAAAGCTGTTGGTGCTGATGATCTGTCTGTCTGTTTAAAATCTGTTTTTCCGTTAACCAGCTGTCGCACTCCTACGAACGACAACCCTCAGAAGTTGAAACTTGTGCGAGCCAAGGATTAACGAGGTCCTACCTTTTAACCTAACACGGGTTGGACGATAGCAAGTGAAAATCGATCGTTCAGACTAGGGCTTGAACCACCGACCAACACGGCAGTCAATTCGAGTGAGTGAACAAAGCACCCACGTCGAACCTAACGAATGCAGAATTCATCGACAGAGAAAAAACAAAGATGGCGCAACATGTCAGAAGTGCACTAACCTGCTTCTTCGTTAATAATATTTGGATCGTCATGTATGACACGTCAAATGGAAGGGAAACGAATGCAGAACTCGTCGACAAAGAAAAAACAAAGATGGCGCAATATGTCAGAAATGCACGAACCCGCGTCTTCGTTAATAAAAGTCGCATCGTCACGTACAGCATATCAAATGAAAGGAGCTATGTTGAATTTATCAACAAATAAAAAACAAAAGAGGTAACCAAAAGGGCACTGAACCATATTTTCGTTAATAATAGTCTGATCGTCGCATTTTCTCAAGGCTGAAATGTTTAGAAGATACCAACGGAGATCTTACGGTGACTATAAGTTCTGGTATGCTTTGTTAGGTATCGAATGATGCGTGCAATTTCGTTGATTCCGACACATACTTAACTTTAGTAGATAGAAGCGTTCCGCAGCTGAGTTTTGTCTTTCTGTTACAGATATTTGGAAAAATTTGAAGAAATTCAAAAAATTTTCGGCAGAAAAATGCCGCTCTTCACTGACTTGGTGTACTATATCTCCTATTTTTTGCCCTCATTGCCCTTCTCACATGTTACGTCGTCTTTGTTTTATTCTCTGTCGATGAATTCTGCATTCGTTTCCTTTTCATTCAATGTACTGCACGTTGAGATTTAATTATCATTAACGGAGATGTGGCTCAGTTCCTTTCTGACATGTTGCGTCATATTTGTTTTTTCTTTGTCGATAACATTCTGCATTCGTTTCTCTTTGATTTGATGTGCTGCACGTTAAGATCCAAATATCATGAGTGAAATTGTGACTTAATGCCTTTCTGACATGTTGCGCCATCTTTATATTCTCTCGTCGATGAATTCTGCATTTTTTATCCTTTCATTTGACGTGCTGTACGCGAAGATTCGATTATTATCAGCGAATATACAACTTAGTGCCCTTCTGACAGTTGCTTCATTTTTTTTTCTAATAACTCATTCATTTCCACAAATCCTCACACATTTTCTACCACGCCACCACCTCCTACGCTGACTACGTCACTTTCAAAGTTTTGATGTTTTATCACTATTATTATTATTTTTCGACCCACATTCCCCAGTTTAATATCGTCTATAGTCTATTTCAAAAGAGTGTAGAGTAATAAATCATGAAGTGTCATAAAATTTGCCTGAATTTCGTTGTCGTCCATGGGCGTAGGCAAATCTTAGGATTATTAAACTTAATAATTAAAGTAAATTAAAAATTACAGACATAG